GAGATATCAAAAAAGTACTCCAGAGTGTTGTTCAGCATGGGGGTGAGTAGAAAATGAAGGCTAATCATGTTTTGGGTGTACTATTCCTTTAAGAAGTTGACTCTTCAGCAATCCCTCACACCAAGCATGCATGTAGTGCAGTGGAGAGGAAAACTCAATTTGAACAGGAAGCAACCTCCAGTAGAACCAGCAGCAGACGTAGAAAAAGAAACAGAGATACAAAAGGTACGTAAGTGTCACCCAGTTACACAGGCGGCCCGTCCAGGAAAGACACAGCCGACACAGATGAGCTCAGAGGCTGCTCCCATGTCAGAGTGTGAAAGAGAGAACACACAGTAAGTCACAGTTAGATAAACAGGACTACAACTGAAGACCATTTAGACACGGCTCTAAAACTGTTAATGAGTGTGTTCCAGTCAGACTGAGGCGGCCATTAAAGGCAGGCATACACTGTGTGATTTTTTGCCCTTTCCGGGGCAACTTTTCAGTCGTGTGAGAATTTTCGATTGGGCGGACTTTCTGCTTGATTGTGCGTCATGTAGTGTACAGGGGGTAAAGAGGGGCGATCAGCCTCTCACGACCACCTCCTGATCAGGAATCGTGAGGACCGTCATGGGCAAATCGTTCAGTGAGCATCGCAAACAAGGATTCTTCTTCTCAGATGATAACACAGAAGCAGGATGCGAGTGAAAGAGTTCTTTCTGTAAAATTGACAGACCATAGTAGCCATGTTTGCTCAGCCATGTCTTTGTCCAAATACGTCGTTGCCTTTTCTTTTTAGGGCTTTTAGCACAAAATTGCACAAATTGCAAGGCAGCACTTCATTCAGCGCTTCGTTCAGCGCTTCGTTCAGCGCTGTGAACGAAAGCCTGCGGTTTCAGTGTGAGCTGTAGCTGTGTGCAAAAATTTTTAAAAAATTCGCTCAGTGTAAGCCCAGCTTAAAGTTGGTTTAGAACGTCTTAGTTTGATGACGCCGGTCAGCACTGGGTTATCAGAGCATGAGTCCAGTGCCAGGAACTCAGTTCAGATCCTAGGAGACGTTCCCTACCAGCTAGAGAAGTCTTTTGGAGACACATTCAACTATCAGATTCCACCTTTAGACGAGGTCATGTTTGTATGATCAAAAAACAATCAAAATTCTGCACACGTGTCCATGATGAGCGGATGTGAGCGTCTGGATGGACCCAGTGTTAAAACAGGTCTCACTGAGTTCTGTTTTGCTCTGCAGGTCAGAACCGGCCTCCAATTTCCATGACGGATGTGGACTGTCCTCTGGAGCACGATGACACCAGGTCCAGAGACGGCCCCTGCTGAGGAGACACTCTTCAGAGATGATGTCATACTGGAGGAATAACGGACAGAACAGGAAAAAAACACAAACCCTCGGTTCTGTTTCACTGACTGTAAATTGGCCTTCAGAGAGGAGGGCTCGTTGTCTCCATGGAGACGATGAGAAGCAGCTCTCACATTAGAGCCTCACTGAGTAGAAGAGGAGAAAAGATGATGAGGGGTGATGAGGATGATGGTAATAATGATGATGATGATGATGATGATGGCCCTCCTCCTGCTGTTCCTCCTCAAGGCTTGCAGCTTTAACCAGCATGATGCTGTTACAAAGAATCAAAGACTTTTTCAGAGGCAGAAAACTTTAAAAAAAGCAGATTAGTCTTTCAAAATCCCGTTATCTGAGAGCAAGTCCTTTGGCTCTGCTGCAGACGTGGAGCCAAAGGCCAAAGTCCTGAGGTCCGTCTAAAGGAAAACTGATCGTTTCCAGACTGAACTCTGGATGACAGAACACAGCATCTGCTATCCAAACCCAAGCTGGCTGATCTGTTATTTCATGATGTTTATGGAATTTAGTGGGGAGTTTAGAGGAGAAAATACGCGATTCCTTCTAATTAGGTTTTATTAGTGTCCGAACCAAACCTGTAGGTTTCATCCAGCAGCAAAAAAATCTCCACAGAACATAGAACAGCCAGGTTAGGATTGGTTTAATGGAAGTTGGGTTTGCAGAGGGTTTGAAGCAGAGAGAACTTTGTTAACCCTTTGTTCGTTTTATTTCTTAGGCTCTGGTGGCCTTTAATTGTGTTATTTTTGAAGGTCTGCAGACATTAAAGTGGGTTGTGAGAGAGGGAAGAGACATTCGGCAAAGGTCAGCAGGGTCGGGAATCATACCTGCGACAGCCGGTATATGGGTCATGTACTCTAACTCCGTATTAACAGCAGACCCCAGTTCGTTTTATTTCTTGAAGGAATTTTGGTTCCTTCTTCCAGTCATCTTCATGAAGGTCCACCCGAAGCTCCTGTTTCTACAGACAGAAGAGCACAGTAATAGTTGAAGAAGCAGACAGTGGTTCTTAGAATTTCTAAAAGTAGATGGCAGATATTTTAGTTATCAGGCCCCCCTCCTGTGTAACAAACTGCCAGTTTTTAAACCCTGTCTACTTTTAAGGCTGTTCTTAAAACGTTCCTTTTTTATTAAGCTTATAGTCAGAGTGGCTCAGGTTATCCTGAGCTATCTCTATAGTTATGCTGCTATAGGCTTAGACTGCTGGAGGACATAGGGACCACTTTTCATCATTCTGCTTTATTCTGTCTGTGACCAGCTGGTTGTTCTCTCTTTCATCCTTTGAGATGAAAACTGGCTCAGAGCTCATCTAATTAACTGTTTCTTTCCCAGATAGTGCCAGCTATGGAGCTAGTTTACAGAGCTTTTCTAACATAGAAAGTACTTATAGATTAGTACTTTTTATGCTCCTTTTCTATCTCTGCTTCTATCTCCTTGAACCCCAGTCGGCCTCAGCAGAAGGCCCCTCACACTGAGCCTGGTTCTGCTGGAGGTTTCTTCCTGTAAAAGGGAGCTTTTCTTCTCCATTGTTGCTGCATGCATGCTTGGTGTGATTGCTGAAGAGTCAATATCTACATTCTCTAAAAGCTAATCCTGTGAAGTGTGTGACTGATTGCAATCAGCTGGTTTTCCTTTTACAGAAACTTTGAACATTTGATCTGACTGGATGATCAGATTGATCTGGATCTATAAAGTGACCCAAGATGAATTGAAGCTATATAAATAAACTGAGATGGATTGAAAAAATAAATATAGAAGCACAGGCTTAGCTTTGGGAGGAGTTCTTTGATACTGCACAGGGTCAGTCATCTGATGTAGCAGTAAAGGGATGGTTGGTTGGACTAAAGCTCTTAGGAGATTCTCTCTGTTTTCTTTGAGCTACAGTCAGTCAGTTTGACAGTGTAACCATGGTGATGCTTCTGAAATAAATCCTGGTCTATTGATTTCCTCTGGTTTCATTCAGTGTTAAATGTGTTTAAAATAAAAGCCGTCTGTCCGTCAGAACCGGATCAATCACTATATGGATATAAATTATCCTTCTACTCGACTAAGAACAAAACAGAGAGCCAGAGTGGTTCCCCACAGACATGGTTCTAACATTAGTTAGTTGGTGAGAAGGAACCAAAGTAGGAGCCTGAAAGAGATGATGCAGTTGAAACATCAAACTCAATAATATTAAACTGCCAATTATCCCAGTAATTTACCAGCTGTAAATGTAAATCTGGCCTGAAGAGGGCAATAACGAGCACATGAAATTCATGGGGGTGGTGAGTCATCTCTGTCCACAGGGTGAAAACAAAAGCAACCGCCTTCCAGGACTAATCAGTCGGGGGTTGATGGTTTCTCTGATGCAGCTTTCAGTATCGGTTCCACTGATTTTTACAGTAATTCGTGAAATGTAAGGAAGCATGGAGGAGTAGTGTCATGGTTTGGGAAACTTACTGCAGCAGGACATTCCAAAGACCGCCAACCAAGAATCCAACATGTCCCTGTTTTCTACCACAGAATATTGATAGAAAATCATCGAAAACAAAATGAACGTCGGCAGAAGAAGAGGCGGATCCAGAGACAGAAGAGTGACCCAAAGCCTACCACTGAGGAACAGCCAACTTTTAAAAAGTGGTCAGAGTCCATGGTCCAGTTAAAGTCCATGGTTCAGTCAAAGCCCGCGTATAGTCCTCTTAGGCTACGTTTACACTGCAGGCCTTGATGCTCGATTCTGATGTTTTTGTGAAATCCGATTTTCTTTATGTTCACATTGCCGTAAACCGCATTCTTACAGTTGAAGTTCCCACATGCGCAGTAGAGGACGCAATGGCGTCACAAGCCAGCGTGCTTCGTGTTTACGGAAGTAAACATGGATGTAGTGCTGGAGAGCATCTTTCCAAACCTTAAAACCTTAATCTTTCCAATACTGCTCTCCACATCATCGTCCGTCATGGTGTTTGTTTTTCTTGCTGCTTCTGTGTAGCAAGAAGCAGGATAGTGACCTTTGTTGGGTATTAATGGCGTTCAGGTGGGATGAATGTGAAATGGCTGTTCAGATACAGGTCGCATTTGAAAAGATCAGATTCATATCGGATTCAGGACCACATAGCCAAGTGTTGGATTTGAAAAAATCCGATCTGTGCTGTTCAGACTGCCATTAAAAGATCAGATCCAGGTCGCATATGGGCCAAAGAAATCGGATTAGGGTCACTTCAGGCCACGGTGTGAATGTAGCCTTAGATTCTGTGAGCTGAATGTTGTTTTAAATGCAACAAACATTAAAGAACTGAAATGAAGCAGAGTGCTCTCCCAGACCTGGACTTAGACCTGGTCCAGACCTGGATCGTACCTAGACTAGACTAGACTTGGACCAGACCTGGACCTGTCAATATGTCAGCTAAAGATGAAAGGTCACATGGAAGGTGTCTTAACTTCTGCTCAGCTAGAAAACCCATTTCTGTCGTTTGTAAAACCAGTTTTTGGTTCCTAACAGATCTTCTCTGCTCCACCTAAAACCTCTGAGTTGGACCTTAAGCTGTTCTAGATCAGCGGTTCTCCATGCTACCTCAAGTACCAACCTCTGTTAAGCACTTCCTGTCTACTAAGTCTATTTTTCCTGCCTCTGAAATTTGATGCTGGCCTTCCAAATCCTCTGGTCCATTTGGACCTTTAGTCAGTATCTTTGGGGCAGCTGTTGTTTTCCATAAAACAGATCAAAAGTTTCATTTGAATGACTGTCAGAGAGTCTAAATGAGTGTAATCAGCCAAAGGAAGACGAGTCCTTTGGATAGAACTGATTAAAATATTTGTAAAGCATGAGAGTAAACTTGCTGATTGGAAGCTGAACCCGACAATGGTTTCAGAGTTTCAATCAAACGTTCTTGATGAGGAAGAACAGAGAACAGAGAGTGTGTCGTGCTGTTTGGGTTTGTCTGTCAGGGAACAGTAGTTTCTGTCCGAGACACTTTCACACCCAACTGTTGCCATCACATAACTGCTGTCAGAGCAGGAACCGGTTACCATGGGAACACACATGATAGAAGGATCACTATTTACATGCCAATGGTTGGTTTGGTCCTAACATCCCTGCTGGGATATTAACCAGAACTGGGTCTACAACTGGATCAGAGCATCCAGGCCCAAAGGATGCAGATACAGAATCAATGTTCTGATCATCACAGTCCTCATTTTCCCAAACAAACCCTGCAGAGATTCCTGTATGGGGAGCAGCAGAGGACCAGGGAGAATCCCAACAGCTCCTCAAACTGTTAGTCTGATATGAGACAGAAGTTGGGGCTAAACAATCCGATCTTGTTTTCCTTTCCTTCCCCTAAAAGCAGAAGTGATCCAGAGTTTGGAAAGAACCAGGATTGGATTTAGGAACCAAGAAGTGGAACCAACACTCCGAGATGTTTTGTTTTTGTTGAGCTGATGCTCATCACAATTATTCTCATCTTCATGAGTAATAAGGATTTTTTTTTTTGACACCCCCTTATCTAAGGTGTATTTCCCTTTTTGAACAAACTGAGTCAGACTCTGATTTCAGTGATCTAAATACAATGGTGTTGTTGTTGACATTAAAAGTCAGAAGCTGAAGGTATAGTCATCTAGTCCTCTCTGTGGGGTGGGGGGGGGACCAATCATTTCTGTCTCTGCAGCAGCAGCAGCTGTAACCCGTGAGAGTCTGCGGCGAGGCGCCTCGCTGCGGTTCACTGAAGGGGAAAGTTTCAAACAACCACCTGAAGCCGAGCTTAGTCAACCCCCGCCCCCGAAGAAAACATACACTACCGTCTCTCCATATCCTGTTTTTGAGGCCACAGAAAACTGAAAGCAAAGCAAGCTGCTCTCAGGATATGTGAAGCTGTTCAGGTCCCCTTTGCTCCTCATCTCTGACCTTCAGGTCCGGATGAAGCTCATGGACCTGATGCTGGCATATTGGTTGGTGGTTAGCAGGATTACAGCATGGTGTCTAGTTCACATCTCTGCTGAGTCTTTTCTTCACACTTAAACTCTCACCTCCAAGTTATCTAA